CATTTGCTGGAACAAAACTAAAGTTATCAACCACTATAATAACAACAAGACCAATTGTTATCAAAATGATTCTCCAATCATTTTGTTAATGATTACAATGAAATCATTGATTCACAATTTGCGCAATTCTATAGACTTCATAAAGCTTGCTAAGCTGCAGAAGATAATAAAGATGATTATGAATGTTTAAGTTACAAATCCACAATACAAATGTTGTGCTCAAAAGTGATCATTGAAGAAGATAGAACAAGGGATGTTGTCCAGAATGTTCTAAGGTGAATCAAGATGAAGAAGTTCTTCTCTTTACTGCATCAAGATTAACAAAGCCTTCAGAAGCTTATAAAAAAGAAAACTTTAGCAATTCAAGTGCTTTGGGCTGTTATCCGTGAAAAATCTACTTGAAAAAAAGAAGATCACACATTAGAGCTAAAATAAAAATATAATATTTTTAGTGTGTATTAGGATATTTTGATGTGCTTAATTCTGTTTACATTCAGCTTGTGCAGAAGATTCGTTATTGTAAACAAATATAAATCAAATAGTTGTTTGATGATACCTTGAGAGACTGAGTGAAGGTTTGAGCTCAAGAAGACTTTGGATACGGCCATAGTAGATGAAATCCTGATAATAGATTCTATTGGGTCAATAGTAGTCATATCTTAAATGGGACTAAGTGAAGGTCAACCTTCTGATATCACTGATGGGTATCATTGGAAGGAAATCCTGATAGGAGATTCTGGAGAATCGAATTCTATTGGGTCAATGAACATTATATCCGGTTTGGATCCCTAAACATTTGATTAGATGTTAGTCAATGGAAGTTGCCCGTGTGATTGTAATCAAAATGATTATAGTGGATTAAGTTCTTGAGTTCAAGTCGAAATCACCTCGGAAGGATGGACTGGATTAGCTTGGGGGTTTCTCAAGTGAACTAGGATATATCGCATGTTCTTTACTTTTATTTATTCTTTAGAGTTTATGTTTTTTGAACTAAATTAGAAGCATTAATTATAATCAACAATCAGAAGCATTGTTCAATGAATGATGCTTAGAAGTGAAAGTTTTACAAGAGAGGAAAATCTAATTCAAACCCCCTCCCCCTCCTTTCTTGTGTTTTCTTCACACCTTCACAATCCTCTCTTGAATGTCTTGCACAAAAACCCCCAAATCTATCAACGATCTTGGAGGAAAAACCTGTGGTTTTTTCGGATGAAACATCCTACAAATATCAACCCAATATTTTCGACTACACAAGAACCTAATTGGACGTTATCAAACCTCGCCTAGATGGCACACCGATAAAATATTATTATGTTTGATTTATCAGTGTGTATGCATAGGTTGGAGGTTTAAGGTGAAGAGCAAATGCAGTATATGTTTATAGTTTCATCAAGTTGAATTGATGCATAAATGATGTATTTATAGTTTTGGAAAGATAGATGCAAAAGGGGAATTTTCAGAAGAAAAAAAAATTGAAAAATTGATCCAATTAAACAGTATGTATCGACCTGAAATTCGTATGTGTCGACACATAAGTCAAAATTTAACTATATGTGTCGACTTGAAAAACGGATGTGTCTTCCTAAGCATTGCAACAATGTATAGCTTTTAAAACTGTAGTACATGTGTCGGCCTGAATTTTGTATGTGTCGGCACATAAATAAGAATTTCTACAATTTCTTAAAAACTTCAGTATGTGTCGACTTATACACATGCATGTGTCTCCCTAAGCCCTCCAGAGGCTATAGTCTTCAAAACTGAGTTGCATGTGCCGACCTGAAACAAGTATGTGTCGGCACATGCAAGAAACAATCATGCAAAAACTTATTTTTCAAGACTTTGGTCAATTTCAAAATAGTTTTTAATGGTTCCTAAGACTCCTAATGCAAAGGAGTGCCACAAGACATAGAGATATCGTCCAATATACATAAATGCTAAGTTTACCTAGTTTTGACATCATAAAAATATATAATCATGAAGTTATACTCACATACTCCCCCTTTTTGATGATGACAAAACTTGCGACGATGCATATCATGTAGTTATCAAAGGCTTCCCCTGACTTTGTGCTTCCCAACTTCATCTCGCATATGCTTCTCCCCCGTTGATAATATCAAAAAGAAAGATAGGAAAACCGTAAGAAGTATCATATTCCAATACAAATAGTAATATATCACCCAGATGCGTTTTTGTATAGAAGAGCAACAATCACATATTCCCATATATATATATATATATATATATATATATATATATATATATATATATATATATATATATATATATATATATATACTACAAGAAAAAACAAAATCAGCCAGGGGATAATCCCCTCACAAATGGCAAAAATCCCTCACAAATGCAAAAATTGCGAGGGGACTGGTCCCCTGGCAAAATAGAGGGTCGCAAATTTATTTGCGAGGGACTTTCTACGTCGCAATTTTTCTTGGAGCTAACCCCCTCGCAAAATACAAGTGTTTTCCATTAGCTAGGGGTTAAGCCCCTGGCAAAATGTAAAAAAAATTATAAAAATAAAATAAAAATATTAATAGAATAAAAATATATTAACATTAACAGAAAAAAATAATATTATAACTATAATTAATATAATTAAAACTATTTCATTATATTATTTTTCTAAAATATCAATAATATTTTCATGATAATATATTTATTGCCTTACTATTTTTTAAAGTATTATAACTAAAAAAATCATTTTACATACTATTGTTTTTTATAAATATTTTTAACTAATTTCTAGCATACTTATCATTATAAATAAATAATTTTTAATCAACAAATATTTATGCAAACATCACTCATAATCATTATAATAACAAATAATAACAAACATCACATATTTAACAACACTCATTTACAACTATAATAACAAACAACACCCATTTACGAGATTTAAGAAAAATTAAACAAAAAATATATACCTTTGATGAACACCCAATTTGGATTTAAATTCTTTGATTGTCTTCAATGATAAAAATATATCTAAAAACATAAAACGAAAACTAAATATTAGAAAGAAAAAAACATAAATTAAATATTATATAAAATATAATTTAAAAGAACAATACCTTTAATAATTAATAAAAATGAGAGATGAATGTAGAAGAAGGTGGGAATATGAGAGAAAGAAAGAGAAGAAAGAAAGAGAGAAAAGAAAGAGAAGAAGAGACACAAATGAATCTGGGAAAGTAGAGTTTTTTTAAATAGGACAATTAGTGAGGGGTAGCCCCTGGCAAAATGTTAGTTATATTTTGTGAGGGGTAGCCCCTCGCAAAATGTAGAGCAGTAAAATTTTCAAAATTCAAAAATCTCTCCTATTTTATTTGCAAGGGATAGCCCATCCCCATTTAATTTTATTTTTTTTCGATTTTGTCATTTGCGAGGGGGTTTATCCCAAGCAATGTCAAAATTTAGTGAGGGGTTTATCACCTCACTAAATCCCCTAGCTAATCAAGTCTTTTCTTATATATATATATATATATATATATATATATATATATATATATATATATATATATATATATATATATATATAATGATGTGAAATTGATAAATAACCATAAAACAACATTACAACATATGTAATGTAATGCATGATGAATGAATGTGATGTAAGAGTAAATTTTTCAAGTTGCTTCTATAGCGTCACGATTACATTGTCATACCCCAAACATACCCGCTCTATTTCTAACAGTCAAATTATTTTTAAAACTTGAGCATTATAAGATTTTTGATTTATTTATACTAACATTTTAATAATAATTTATTTTTCTCATTTAAAAATATATATAATAGTTTACTTTGAATTATTTGTATTTTTTAAATAACAAATATTTGTTGGACCTTCATATGCTTTCAAGTGCATTTTATTTTAAATAAATGAGATAGCACAATTGGTAAGGAGATAAGGTCGGCAAGCATAAGGTCACGGATTTGAATCTTTCTTGTTTTTTTAACATTTTTCTGTTACTTGTTACTAATTTTATTTCAATTTTTAGAATCACAAAATTGTATTTTTTATTATTTTAATTTCAATTTTCGTTTTCCTATTTTATGTATTTTTTAAATAATTATTTTTTATTTATTGTATGCATTTTTCATCAAAAAGTGTCTCAAAAAATCATAAAAAATTTAAATCTTTTCAACTTGTTTTCTATTGATCGGCATGCGTCACACTAACTTTTGATTGATCAACTTTTTCACTAAGAAATCATTTTTTCTTTTTTGTTGAAATAATTTTCACAATAAATAGATCAACAACTCACACACAATTCATCTACAGTTTCTCACAATTTCACTACAACCAACAATTCACCCACACACATTATCAATAATTCTACAAATTTCACGATTTTCAACCTTATTCTTCACATACTTTTTTTAAAAGTATTTTTCTATTTTTTTGGTCGATGATTCAAATATCAGACTTTCCTTTCATTTTTAATTTTAATTTTAAATTGTTTTATCATTTAAATCAAATGATGATGTTTCTAATGGTTATATTTATCATGTTAACAAAATTGCATAGGGAGGTCAATTCAAAATTGTACATAATTCCTCCCAAAACTCTTGTTTTTTACATCACTTTCTTACGATAACATCTACAGTGTACAGACAATACTACATATTACTATTTTATACCAATCTCTTACCAAGTCAAAAACCTCTTTTTTCACTCTCACATGTATATACATTACACCAAATTTCATACTAACAAAGCCATACTTTCACAAAAAAACAAAGCATATCATAAAATACAAACCATATCATAAACTTTAACAAGAAAAACAAAGCTAAACTCCGACAGCCACATCGATTTCGTAACACAACAACAATACCTGCAAATTCAACCATTTCAAATTACCATATACTCCTACGAATAACAACCAATAACAACAACATTTTTTTTCTCATGACAGGGTACCAAGGAATATGAATTTGAAACACAACAGAAACAGAGAAACTGAGTCAGAAAATCGATGTTTCCGCCGAAACCACAATCGGACCCGGATTCACAAACATCCAAGTCGCACGATGGCACCAACCTCCACGCACAGCCGCGGCCTCAACCGTCGGTGAGTCTCCTGCCCAGACGCTCTCGACTCCGTCTGCAGCACCCTGCATCTGACATTTCGCTATGGTTTGAAAAGAGAGAAGGAAGGGTTTATCATGGAGAGAGAAATTTAGTTTAATTTTTGTCTCTTCTGTTATTTACTGATATGTGTATGCTATGTTTTTATTTTTGTTTTATTTATTCTTTAATCTGCCACATGTTGAAGTGCCATTGGTTGGTGGATAAACTTTGAAAAGTCAGATAATAATATTTTTCAATATGTGGTGAATAATGAATGTCCATAAAAGTAGTGCCTATTCTTACTACTTCTTTCATTATTTTTATTTTGTTTTCTTTTTCTTTTTCTTTTGTTATTTAATTAGAGTCAGGGTTTTAGATGTAATAATCTTTATTTCCTATACATATTTGTATTTCCGGACTAACCTATACATAATCCACAATCAAAATCCTATACAACATCTAAATTTTTTTAAATTGAATTAATTTAAATATTTTTATAAATAATAGAATATACATTCTCAAATAATAATTTAGTTAGCTTAACGTCTTACTTATTAATTATTCAAATTAAAATCGTTAAAATTTATAAATAAATCAAATCAATTTTTTCGTCTCGTGCGATTTAATTCTAATAAGGATCAATTCTTATAAAATTTAATTTCTTCACCTAGCGCAATTTAATTTCAATAAAGATCAAATCTTCTTCGACCAATCAAAACAGTTAATCAACTAAAACCATTTTTCTACTAATCTAATAAAACTCAAAGACTTTTTTCAATAAAGATTGTCAAATTACTTTCAAACCGATCATAAAACTTTGTCTACCATCACTCAATTTTTAAACTCAGACAAGTTCAAAATTGTTCGAAAGCAACTTAACACAATCATATAAAAAACACTAACCAAACATACTTCGAACTACGAAGAACTCTAATTTCTTCTTAAGAAGATACGTAAGCACACGGTTGAAAAACCAATGTGAGTCTACTAACTAAAAAAATTTAATTTTCCCTTATTTTTATTATCCAACTATCACTCATGCTAGCTGATTTCCCGAGGCTCACAAATGAACTCAAGAAAGTCCTGAACCATAGGAGGGGAAGATTAGACAATAAAGACTCAAATAAACTTGGTCCTACAGGTTCTATTGGAGAGAGAAGGCAACTTTTCTCCATGACAGCTATAGGCCTATACAGTGCTTCAGATGCTATAACTAAGGGTAACTCCCCTACATCCAAGGCAACGATATCAAGAGCAAATGCCCTATCAGCAAAATAGATGTGTCTGACAGAAGAAAAGACAAGAGGCCCCTTACTTTGACAATTCCTAGAACTAAGAAGCATCTCCTAAAGTCAGTGGATCAACAAAGAAGCTCATCCCTAGGATCATTAGGTCTTTACCATTTCCAATTTGTAATTGCTTTGTTGCTAAGGATTATTGGTTGTAAAATTTATACTCTTTTATTTTTAATTCTAATAATTATGTATATTTTTGAAATTGTCATACTCCAAATTTGTCCGTCCTTAGTGTTACCGTCAAATTTATTTTCGAACTTGGGTTTTAAAATTCCTTTGGTTTAATTACGTTAATATTTTGGGGTTTTATAAATATTCGTTCTCAAGTCTAGTTAAAAATATAATAATTTATTTCAAATTATTTGTATTTTAAATAACAAATACATGTTTGTCTTCATGTATTTTCAATTGGCTATTTATTTTAAATAAGTAACATAACACAGTTGGTAAAGAATGAAGTTTGTAAATATGAGGTCATTGGTTTGATTCTCTTATGGTGCACTTTTTAACATTTTTCTATTTCTTTTTGTTACTAATTTTCTTTCCTTTTTTGGAAATCACGCTTTGACTTTTCATACATTTTGGATAACTTAGTCTCTAAGTTTTTTCTAACCTAATTCAAGTCTAAAAATAAGACTCTTATTTGTCCTAAAAATTCATCAAGAATTCCACAATTGCACTATACATCCACAATATCACAATCATCTACAATATGGTTTTTGAACAGAAACCCTATTCATTTAAAAACCTGTTATTTTTTTCTTACAATCATTTTTAGTTTTTCTAGGGTTTTGAACAGAACACCTAAATTATTTTCTGATGATGATTCCATATGAGGTCTTCCTGATATTTTTAACTCCCTTTTAATTTTAATTTATTTCAACCACGTGACGATATGATCTGATGGTATTTTTTGTATTCAAATTGTATTTCCTAATAACAACTTTATCCCAATCTACTTTGTACATACACACTAATAATCACATTTTGATACAAAAATCTTTCCAGCCGTTAGGAACTTTTTGAGCTACGCTGAACACTATTTTTATTCTTAGTATATGGAGCGAGAAATATACATTTTTTATAAACTGCTTAACAGGTTTTTATTACTCAACGGAATACTAATAGTGTTAATTTTTCACTAGTTATGTAACATTATATGTTTCATGTAAGTTGTTTTGTTACATGCTAAACGATACTCACCATGATCTGTATCAATCCATACACAAATTACAACATTATCATCAAACAATTATTTTTTTCACTAACACAACATAACCTGCATACTTTTAAAAAATCCTCACATAATTAACAACATGTTCTTTTCACTACAAACAATAACCAACCTGCAATTATACACAACCCTTTGTTCTTTCAACAATATCAAAACATAATAAAAATCACATTCAATTTCAAAATCTTTCACTTTATCACTCCTAAATAATAAACTAGCAAAGAAAGATTTAAAAAAAATAATACAAAGGAGAAGCAAAACTTCGTTGCTACCGTTAATTGTGCAGCTTGTCATAGTTCTTCTCTTTCATCACTTTTGTTGTTTTTGTTTTAGTCTTGTTTACAAGTTGTTTAAAAAGAAGATGAAGCACAAGGAAAATTGGAAGCTTCGTCAAATCCCGCTACGACACGACTCTGCGATGTTAGGCGCCGTGAAAGTCGAAATCCAACGCCAACATCAAGTTAAATAATTTAATAACTCTCTGGTCCGAATGTGCGAAAACTTCGTATACTCACACGCATCAATCGAAGAGTAATTAAATAGGGATAACTGTCATATCCCAACTTTATTCGTCTTATTTCTAACCGTCAAATTATTTTTAAAACTTGAATTTTATAAGATTTTTGACTTATTTATACTAACATTTTAATATTAATTTATTTTTCTTATTTAAACATATATAATAGTTCACTTTAAATTATTTGTATTTTTTAAATAACAAATATTCGTTGGACCTTGGTATGTTTTCAAGTGCCTTTTTATTTTGAATAAATGAGATAACACAATTGCAAATATAAGGTCACATGTTCGAGTATTACTTGTTCTACTTTTTTTAAACATTTTTCTGGTACTTGTTACTAATTTTATTTTCATTTTTAGAATCATAAAATTGATTTTTTTAATTATTTTAATTTTAATTTTCGTTTTCCTATTTTATACATTTTTTAAATAATTATTTTTTTATTTATTTTATACATTTTTCATCAAAAAGTGTCTCAAAATTTTATTAAAAAATGTAAATCTTTTCAGTTTGTTTTCTATTGGTCGTCCTCCATCACACAAACTTTTGATTGGTCAACTTTCTCACTAAGAAACCATTTTTTCTATTTTGTTAGACATAATTTTCACTATAAATAGATCAACAAATCACACATAATTCATCCACAATTTCACTACATCCAACAATTCACCCACACCCACATTATCAATAATTCTACAAATTTCACAATTTTCAACCTTGTTCTTCACATACTTTTTTTAAAAATATTTTTCTATTATTTGATCGATGATTCAAATGAGGTCTTTCTTTCGTTTTTAAATTGTTTTCTTTCTTTTGTTTTTGAGCACGTATGCAGGATTTCCAAGTTTGAACAGGGCACACGTTTTTGTTTGATCAGAGGTTAAAGATGAAGTGGAAATGGGTTGGGCCTGACTTGACTTTTGTTTTTGACACCCCCCATCCTGCTTTCTGCACCCCCTTGACCCATTTGATTATTTTTTGCATATTTTTCTATTTTCTTTTATATTTCTAACTTTTATTATTTTTCTAAATATAAAAAAATCACCAAAAATATTTTCTTTAATTTTCACATTTTATTTTATTATTTTTATTATTTTTTTGGACATAGAAATAGTTTATTTAAATAATATACTTTTATTTTCTTAAAATAAAAACTTGTAAATACTATAAAAATATTATTTATTTTTATTTTTATTATTTATACACTTAAATAATATTTTCTCACACATTTTTATTTTTTAATATTTTGTATATATTATTTTTATTTTCTTTGTACATAATAAAATAAATAATTAATATAAGGCATATTTTCTTTAAACAAAAATTAGGGTTTTTATCCTTTCCAAAAATAACCATTAATATTTTTAATATTTTTAGGACATTAAATAATTTATTTTACTTACATAAAATAAAAATACAAAAAAACATATTTGCATATTTATGTTTAATTGCACATTTAAATATTTGTCAATTTATCATTTGCACAAAGAATTCAATATGGTTGTAATAATTTTAGGGCTTTTATTTTTTGCAAAATATCCCCTATTCAAAATTGTATCCCCCTCCCCATATCAATGTTGTAATAGTTGTAGATTTATTTTTACGCACTTTATTGCTTTCAAATATGCATGATAGAAAGATTAGGGTTTGTATGCAAAAATCCAAAATCAAACAAATAGCTTGACCTAATACAAGACAAAAATGCATGAAAAATGACAACACAATACACACAAGCACCCCTAGGGTTTCATCCACTTGTTGCCTTTAAAATGGCCATGGTATGCATGCTAGGTATCTTGGAAAAACAAAATCAAAACAAAAAGATCATAGTCCCTCGATGACGCTATCTTGGTTGCCGATACACAAATGATCTAGTCCCTCAAACAAAAACTTGCTAAGATACTTGGCACAATTGCTATCATGGTCATACGATGACCCGCGCCTGTCCCGTTTAACATCCAAACACAAGGTTGTTTACCAAATACAATGGTAAAACAACAATGTCAAAGGATTATAAATGTGTAGGAAAGATCTTTGAGTAGGGTAGACAACTCCTAGTTACTTGATCA